ACCTTGCACTGTCTTGCTTTGTCAGGTGCTAAAACATAGAAAACCTATTTCCATGTATGAGTTTTTACAGTTGTTGGCTTTCAAAGCATCAACAATCCTGACTTTAAGGTCTATTATAGAACTATAGTCCTGAAAACACCTTGGTATTGGCACAAAAATAGACAAGTAGACAAATGAAATCTAATTGAAAAACCCTGATATTAACCCACACCACTAGGAAAACCAGATTTTTGACTAAGAAGCTAAAATTATGGAAAAATAAAGCCATCTTCAACAAATGGTGCTGGCATAACTGGATGCTGGCACGTAGAAGATTGCAAATAGAGCCATATCTTTCACCATGCAAAAAACTTAAGTCTCAGTGGATCAAAGACCTCAACATAAATGCAGGCACACTGAACCACTTAGAAGAGAAGGTGGGAAGTACCCTTGAATTAATTGATACAGGAGACTGCTTCCTGAACATAACACTAGTAGCAAGGACATTGAGATAGACAATTAATAAATGGGACCTCCTAAAATTGAGAGGCTTCTGTAAGAAAAAGGACAGAGTCAACAATACAAAATAGTAGCCCACATAATGGAAAAAGATATTCACCAACCCCAAATCTGACAGAGGGCTGATTTCCAAAATACACAAATAACTCAAGAAGCTATTCACCAAATCACCAAATAATGCAAATAAAAAGTGGGGTATAGAACTAAATAGAAAATTCTCAATGGAGGAATCTTAATTGGCTGAAAGACACTTAAACAGTCAAGGAAATTCAAATCAATACAACTCTGAGATACTATCTTTCTCCTGTCAGAATGTCTAAAATCCAAAACACCAAGACAGTTTATGCTGGAGAGGTTGTGGAGAAAGAGGAACACTCCTCCACTGCTGGTGGGAGTGCCAAATTGTACAGCCACTTTGGAAATCATTATGGAGATTCCTCAGGAAAATGGGAATCAGTCTACCACAAGATCCATCAATTCCACTCTTAGGCATATACTCAAAGGTGCACTTTCATACAACAAGGACATCTGTTCAACTATGTTCATAGCAGCATTATTTGTAATAGTCAGAACATAGAAGCAACATAGATTCCCCTCAACCAAAGAATGGATAAAGAAAATGTGGCACATTTACACAATGGTGTACTACTCAGCAGAAAAACAAAACAATGAAATCTTGAAATTCGCAGGAAAATGCATGGAACTAGAAGAAACCATCCTGAGTGAGGTAACCCAGTCACAAAAAGAAAAACATGGTATCTACTCACTCATATATTGATTTTAGACATAGACTAAAGGATTACCAGCCTACAATCCACACCTCCAGAGAAGCTAGGAAACAAAGAGTACCCTAAGAGAGACTTATATGGTCCCCCAGGGAAGGGGAGAGCGACAAGATCTCCTGAGCAAGTTGGGAGCATGGGGGAAGAGCAGATTGAGGCAGGAGAAAGTGAATGAGAGAAGAAGAAGAAGGGGGAGGAGAACATGAGGAATCAGAAGGACTGAGACAGGGGAGGAATACAGGAAAGCAAGAAAAGAGATACTTTAATATAGGGAGCCATTATAGTTTTATCTGGCACTAGGGAAATGTCTAGAGATCCACAAGGATGACCCCCAACTAAGAATCTAGGCAATAGTGAAGATAGTATTTAACAATAATGAGGTTGATGACTACTTAAATGCCAGTCTAGAGCCTTCATCCAGTTGTGATTGAAGCAGAAGCTAACATCCACAGCTAAGCACTGAGCTGAACTCCTGGAATCCAGTTGTATGTAGATAGGGAGGAGGGAGGAGCAAAGGAGTCAAGAACAGACTAGAGAAACCCACAGAAACAGTTGATCTGACCAAGTGGGAGCACAAGGACCCCAGTCGTAAAAGCATTGGACCATACCAATCCTTCTGAATGTGGGTGTAAGTTAAGAGGCTTGGGAAGTTTATGGGAACTCTGACAGTGGAACCAGTATTTATCCCTAGTGCATAAATGTACTTTGGAAGCTCCTTCCCCATGGAGTGCTACTCTTTCAGCCTAGGTACATGGGGGAGGACCTAGTCACTCCCCCAAGTGGTATGACACACTTCAATGTTCCCCCTGGAAGGCCTCAATTTCCTTGGAGTGTGGATGAGGGTTTGGATGGGGGAGGGTTTATGGAGATCATGGGAAGATGGGAGAGAGAGGGAACTGGGGTTGATATATAAAATAAGATTGTTTCTAAAGAAAAAAAAGGGGGGGAAGAAAAGAGACATTATATTCCCAAGAATCTAATTTTTTCCATGTAGCTAATAAATTGATAGAATTTCCTTAGCTGCAGAATGAAAATGTGATTAGTGTTTACCATTTTTTTGTATGTTGTGTGTGTTTGTTACTTCATTAATTATTTCATAGGAAATTTCAAGAAATACATCATTTACTTAATTTTTATTTTCATTTACAAAGTCCATGTTTAATTTAATATTGTATTAGCAAAAGGTTAAACAATATCTTGCAAAGTGTTTCAAATTTAATATGTCACAATCCTTCTATGAAGGAGATACCATTGGTCCAATGCTACAAAAGAATATTTCATTAAAATTTTATTGTATTGACAAATTTTATATAAGTATGTCAATTTATTACTCTTTCTTACTGAATGTAGCCTGGGTGAATATATGTGATTTGGAGGCAGGCATTGGACGCAACAAGCCTCTGTAGTGTTCCCATTCACTTCCTTTTCTCTGTTCCTTCTTCTTTCCTTCCTTTCTTGTCTCCTTGCTTTTTTTTTTTTTGAGTCATACAACTCATGTACAAAATCATGTAACTACTTAACTCTTAGAAGAAAAATAATTGTATATGTGTGACAGAAACTTAAAGAAGGATAGCTGTTTGGGCTTCCTCTATTCTCTTAAATAACTTTCCAGGAACAAACACATACTGTTGGTGGTGGTGGCGAGAATGCATTACATCATACAACAAACTCTTGTAGGGAGTTTACTACAAGGGTAAGGGAAGAGAAAGAGATCAGAAGGCATGGAGGCCTGCCTAGGAAGGAGAATTGACAGGAAAGAGGGAAGGGGGAACGGAGGTGCTCACTTTTAAATGGGGCTTTGTGTATGCAGGCAGAGACTACATAATTGCATAGCCAATGCACAGACAACTACATATCATAGTATAGGACCCTGGGTTGGCCAATTTGCCTGAATGTTGACAACACATGCACAAAGGGGATGCTCTTAGTGTGTACAGCTGAGGACCCTGGAGGTAAGCTAGAGTTATGCCTGAAATGCTATCAACTTAATGTTCATAGGGACAGATTGTGGTTGATGGCGCCTCCTGCCAGGTCCCCAAGGGCAGTCCAGCATAATACCTGAATGCTATCACATACCAGTGTTTTTCTTTAGTTTTAATATGTAGCAGAGCCAAAATCCGAAAAGCTTAGTGTCTTTGCAATCTTCAAGGTAACAAAGCTATGAAAGATGGGATTTTAATTGTCTTTAGTAATAGCTATCTTGCCTCTGTAAATGCTAAAAGTTCTAGAGAAAGATCTGATGGAGAAAGCACCAGTGTCACTGGATTAAAAAAAAATAGAAATGGCAAAAAGCAAATAGCTTGAAAAATATTGAAGTCCCTGAACTATAAAAGAATTAGAAAGAACCATGCAATTTGATATATCTAGGTGGAGTCACAATTTGAAATCAATTCAGAACTGTGGAAAGATTGGTTTTTAATTCAAGTCTGTTATACAACTCCTCCCAAAACTTAAAAGAATAAAACCCAAGCATTGACATTTGCTAGAATACAAGACACTTAAATATTTAACTGACAGATCTTTTTCATTAACTACAAAAAATGAAAAGTACAATTTGTAAAATGTGGAGGTAGCGAAATTGAAGATATTAGCATGCAATCCTGAAAAATCAATTCCACAAAAGGAAACAAAAAAGAAAATCAGTGTTGGTAATCTATGTATGCTAAATATTTAACAGTTCCTAGACTAGTGAGCTGTATCTGAATTAAAGTAAAACATGGTATGCATTGTGACCTTTCCTATCACATTTTATCATGAGACTATCCTAAGTGAGATTTCTCTGATGTGCCTACACCTTTCAAACTGCCGAGAGAGGTAGAAAAACCTTACAGAAAAGGTCAGAGCGCTGCGTGGTGTGCAGCCTCGATTTCAAGGGAATATAAAATTCAGTCACTGAGTGGCTCTGGACGGCTTCCATGAAACTGTCAGTGGAAAGCAAGGCCTTTAATGATCACAGTCCTCTCTGTTCAATTGAGTGTGACTAGATGAAGCAAGAATTCAAACCGAGTCTCTGTGGCAAATTGTCTACTGATTGAGATGTAGCTCAGGGAGAGGAAAGTGGTCCCCGGGGATCACAGATCTATTGAGAAAGCAAAACCTGCTCAGGCTTGGCACCAAATTTCAGGCTGGTGCAGTGCAGAATGCCAACACAGTCAGTGAGCAACAAGAGGACTGATGCTCGTAGGCCTTCCTGTCAATAGATCTTATAAGTGTGGTTTCAGAAATGGCTTTTACTTCTTCAATTGTCAACATGATAATCTTATATGATGTAATCATATAATCTTTAGAAACACAAGTTCTATGTACGTAGATGTCTATTAATACTTATAACTTGGGGTCAACACAAATCAATTTCATTGGAATAGATGTCTATTAATACATGCAAACTTGGACAACACAAAGTGATTTCATTTGAAATTGAGAAATAATGAAAATGGGCTATAGTTGTGACTCTGCAAGTAAGGGCCCTTGACCTTGTAATAACCTGGGTTTGATAGCTGGGACTCACACGGTGAAAGGAGAAACTCAATTTGTGCTGGTTGTTTTCTGGCTTTCACATGTACACCAGGGAATGTTCCTTCAAACAAACAAACAAACAAAGTAATAAAAACAAAAAATGTGAAGGCACCAATAATTTCCAGCTGACTTTTGTGCATATTGTTGTTTACATGAAATTAAAGTCTACTATATATCCTTACATCTAATCCTCATATTTTACAGGTGAGGGACCTGAGATCTTAGAAGACCTTGTAAGGAACAGGCACATTGAAGATCAACACTTTCCTGTGAGTCTAAAGCTTTTTAATAACTGTGTCATCTGAAAATAATTTGTTATGCTAAAAGTAAGTTCACACACCCATTATTTCCTTTGAAACTGTAGTGTGTCTGACATGTTATCAGGATTCCAAAGAACTTAATGGAATCACAAATTCTGGGATCCCTTTTCATGAGGAGGTCTCCCAGAGTTAAGGGCTCAGACCTAGTCTCCACACCCTTGGTGACCAAGACTCACACAGGGAAGGATGCTAAAATAATAGTGTCCAGGAAAGGATTGAGAGGCACTGGTAAATGTAAGAAAGCCACACATTCTTTAGCCATGTACTCTTCGTTTACAAAAAAAAAAAAAAATCAGCCCCACAATATTCTAATAAGAAGTCCTGCTTCAAAGATTACAAAGTGCTATTGTCCCCAAATCTACACACTAATTAGACAAAAGAGACCTTTGGACTTGTTCCTTCTCACCCATGAATAAGTGAGACCTCATTCACTTAAATATATTTGTGTTTTTAAAGCAAGTTACATATTTCCTCCCATAATATCTGTGCTCATCTTGGCATATTTGTGTCTATAAAATGTGTTCTTTTTTGCTTATCATTAAAATATAATATCATCTCAATTTTCCTGATTTACTTAAATACAGGCACATGTGTAATATTTAAATATTTCTCTAGCATCTTTGCTAATACCTATAGGACCCTGTTCCATTAGAAATGACAAGAATGAAAATGGTATTCTGATCCTGTCTTCAAGAGAAATATTGAACTGTTTGTATAAGTGTAAGTGAAATACAATTTGTCAGTTAAACCTAGTTCCCGTTATCATCCAATACTTTCAGAAGCCGTAATGTCAATGGTTGTATACTCTGCTTTTGTTCCTTTTAAAATGCCTCAGCTGGATTGCTTTGTTGCTTAGGGGGAACTTAATAAAGCCATTTGATTTCAGTTCAAGTTTTAAATATCACTAATTTTTGAAGTCACACAGCAGGACAATGTATTATTAGTGTTCTTCTGCCTTCTCTGTAGATGACATGTAATTGGAGTCAGCTAATTGTTTAAAAACTTTTATGCAGTCAATGTTCTTTCTCCCTGTTCTCCAGGGAAATGATTCTTTTCTCTGTATTTTCCTACTATTCAGGGGAAGTATATTTTCTAATGCTATACATTAACTTTGGAATTTATTTCTATGGAAAGAAATGAAAGGTAAAGAACTATAATAATTTTTAATCAGTATATTTTCTTTAGATTTGTAGAACATGGAAAAGTTAACAAGATGAGGTAGCAGCAGTCTGTATATCAGCAAAGGAGATGGTTGGAGTGTGTAGTTACCTTAGAATCTGTGACTACTTTGGTACTCACCTATTTGGAGTCTCTCCAACTTTACATGTGTAGTCATGTTCTAGAGACCCCTTAAAAAATAGTCTGTACCTTCAGGCTTGTTAGCATTCATGTATAATCCTTGTCTCAAAGCTTTTCCTTGATTCATTGGGATTCTAGAACAGTAAATGATGAAGTTTGTTCATCATTACAGTATTACTAAAACAAAATAAAACAAAAATAAACCAATAAAAAACATTTTCTTCTTACAACTATGGAGCCTACACTACCAAGATATAGTTGCCAGTAGTGATTGTATCTGATGAAGTCCCAGTTCCTGATTCACCATATCTCTTTAGGTCTTCACATTACTTATTCTCAATATGTAGAAAGAGAGTGTACAAAGTGGGGGAGATAATGAAAAGAGAGAAATAATACTTTGACACTCCTCTTATTCTTATAGGTACAAATCCTACTGTCTTAGGGACCTGCTCTTATGATTTCATTTAACCCAACTTGCCTATGAAGGCTTTACGTCCAAATACAGTCACATTAGGAATTAGGATTTGATCCTGTAGATTTTTGGAAGACACAAGTCACCTCGTAAACATCTACCCTCATATTCATCTAATATATATCTAATATCCAAAAATAGGCTTATTGTATCCAAATACTTCCAGCACCTTAATTCATTTCAGCATCAATTATAAACCAGATCACATAGAAATTAAGCATACGTGTTCTATGTTTCTCTGAAATAATAACAAAGGAGGAATAGGCTAATCATTCCTACTCCAAACATGTAGCAGTGAAAATACAGCAGGAGCATAGGTTTCCTGCATGTTCAAAACATAGCAAAATAGTTCCATTTGACTTTCCCTTTATTTTGATAATGGTGTCTTCAAGATATTCCACGTTAGACATTGAAAATGTTCTCCTTTCCTATGGGTTCTAATTTTTTTTCATTTAAAGTTTTACCCGTTCTCACATCCTCAGGCTAGATAGCATCAATTTTGCCTTCAGTACCAAAAAAGACATGATAACAATTTCAAAGCCTGCATATATCAGACCTCTAATTGGTTTACTTGTTTATTCAAATGATTAGGCTATTCTGGTTCCCTTGAAATCTTCCATGTTAAATTTATGAGCAATGTTGGTTTGGCCAGCAAGTGAAGTTAAAATTTGTTAAACATGAATTGGTTCTGCTGGTCATGTTCAGAAAGTCTGTAGTTTCATCACAAGTAAGCCTCTGATTCATGAATAGGAGATACATTTTAGTTTTTAAATTTTATGATTTATACAATATTGTATAGTAATCTTGTAGTTGAAGTTATTCATTCAGATTTTAATGCTATTTTATAAAATCATTTTATTTCCAACTCCACTGTTGTTTATTTTTTATATATAGTGCATTTTTATTTATATTAGAAACAATCTTATTTTACATATCAATCCCAGTGCCCTCTCCCTCTCATGCTCCCATGCACCCACCAACTCCTCCCCATTCACTCCCCAGGGAGTGGGGGATCATCCATGAGGGATCATCAAAGTCTGTCACATCATATGGGGCAGGGTCTAGGCCCTCCCCCATGTATCTAGGCTGAGTGAGTATTCCTCCATGGGGGAATGGGCTACCAAAGTCCATTCATGCACTATGGATAACTACTGATTCCACTTCAGGTCCCATAGACTGCCCAGGCCTCCTAACTGACACCCACATTCAGGTGGCTTGGTTCAATCCTATGCTGGTTCTTCAACTGTCTGATTGGGGTCCATGAGCTCCCACTTGCTCAGGTCAGCTATTTCTGTGGGTTTCCCCAACATGGTCTTGACTCCCTTGCTCATCATACCTTCCTGTCTACAACTGGGTTCCAGGAGTTTGGCTCAGTGCTTAGCTGTGGATATCTGCTTCTACTTCCATCAGCTACTGTATGAAGGCTCTAGGATGGCATTTAAGGTAGTCATCATCCTCATTATAATGGAAGGGCATTTAAGGTAGCCTCTTCACTATTGCTTAGATACTTAGCTGGGGTCATCCTTGTGGATCTCTGGACATTTCCTTAATGCCAGATTTCTCTTTAAACCTATAATGTCTCCATTTATAGATTTAGAGTGTCTCTTTTCTTGCTCTCCTCTATTCTTCCCCTGACTCAATTTTCCTGATCCCTCCTGTTCTTCTTCATCCTCCTCTTCTCCCCTCTTCTTTGTCCTACCTCCCTCCCCTGCTCTGTGTTCCCAATTTGTTCAGGAGATCTTCTCCCTTTCACCTTTCCAGGAGGGTGGGGGTCCATGTATTTATCTCTTGGGGTCCTCCTTGTCTTCTAGCTTCTCTGGAGGTGTGGGTTGTAGGCTGGTAATCCTTTGCTCTATGTCTAATGTCTAATATAAATATATGAGTAAGTGCACACCATGTTTGTCTTTCTGTGACTGGGATACCTCATTCAGGATGGTTTATTCTAATTCCATCCATTTGCCTTTGAATTTTAAGATTTCATTGTTTGTGTCTTCTCCCCCCCCCCCCCCCCCCCCCCCCGGCTGAGGCTGAGTATTACTCAATTGTGTAAATGTGCCACATTTTCTTTATTCATTCTTGGTTGAGGGACATCTAGGCTTCTTCCAGGTTCTGTATATTACAAATAATAAGGACATCTGTTTGACTATGTTCATAAAATCCTTTTCAACAACGTTTGTTGAAATGCAGTTTAGTTGTCTCTGCACTTATCTTGTGATCTATAACTTGAATGGACTTATGAGTGATAATATGTGTTAGTGTTTTCATTCACTTCTTAGACTTCCTATACAGAAAAAAAGCAATTTTATGTCTATCTTTCCACGGAAGTGAAACCTGGGTTGTGGTAGTGGTTTGAATGAAAATGCCCCCAAGGGAAGTGGCATTAGTAGGAGGTATGGCTTTGTTAGAGTAGGTGAAGCTTTGTTGGAGGAAGAATGTCACTATGAGGGTATGTTTGAGGTCTCCTTTACTCAAGATAATCTCACCATGTGACAGTTTATTTCCTGTTGCCTTTGGATCAAGCTGTCGAACTCTGGAGCACCATCTGTGCCTGTATACCACCATGCTACCCCCTTATGGTAATGATGGAGTAAATCTCTAAAAGCAACTACCACAAATAAGTGTTTTCCGTTATAAGAACTGCTGTGGTCATCATGTCTCTTCATAGAAATAGAAACCAGAACTAAGGCAGGAGTTGGTACCAGGGACTCTAATATTTCTGTGATAGTCCTGACCATGATTTTGTTTGAAGGAATATGGATCTTGGAACTGTGGAATAGAGAAGCAGTTGCATGCTTAAATGTTGCTTAATGGTCCATCATAGTAGGATCATGGAAGACTGTGGTGCTGAGTATGATTTGATGAACTGTGTGGACCTTGCTCAAGAGGTTGCAGAGGAGAAGGATATTAATATGTTGGCTAGATAACATTCTTTTGATATTTTTGTAAAGAGTGTGGCTTTTTGTCCTCATCAAAAGAGTCTGCCTGAGATGAAAGTGAAGAGTATTGGATTAATTCCACTGGCAGGAGAAATCTCAAAATAGCCTAGAATAGACTCATGTGGTTTTTAGTGGTAACTCAAACAAAGGTTTATAATGAAAAGGAGCAAGCTAAGCAGAGTATATAACAAAATGTAAAATGTGAGGGAAAGAGCATGAGGAAGTTGAGTGCCGTGTTCAAG